CCCCCCCCCCCCCCCCCCCCCGACCCCTTTCCCCCCCCCCCCAAAAAAAACACCTTTCTGCACCCTGGAAAAAAAAAACCACTGGACAATTCCTACTCGTCCTTAACTCACCCATAAGGTAGGGAGGTACTCAGAAGTGGTGATCACGTTTCCGCTCAGATCAAATTGGTTGATTTGGCGAAAAGCCACGATGTTCACATTGTCGACGTCATCGCTGCCGACCTACAATTGGGAAGATGGGGGGGGGGAAAGGATTACGGGTCGAGAAGGGGGAAGGCTCACGAGGAACAGGAAGGCCGGTCAGGTCGCGCCACCTCTTCCGGTTTGCAATTGGGAAAAAAAAAAAACATTTCAACTCCTTGGTGGCTTGTGACGGGGAAGAAAGTGAAGTGTGCAATACTCTTGAGGAAGAAACTTCAGAGCTCAGGAGTCCCCAAAGGTTTTATTTTCAAAATTGAAACTTGCGGAGCGCACGCAAGGCTCAACTGAAGATAATCACCTCATTTAAAACAAAACTGGGTTAGCTTCTCCATAGCTTCCCTCTCCGACCACCCCCAAGGAGAGTTCTTATTTTGGAACCAATTTCCCGTATGGAAAATTCTGGTTATTGGTAGCCTGTCAGGGTTGTGGCCTGCCAGCAGAGCTGGCAGCGGATTCAGACAGTGAGGAGGTTGGGGAGGAACGTGGGCCAGTCCTGGATTTTGGGGAAGGCGCTGATGAGGGCTCTATGTTGGAGGCAGAGAGGGGGCCAGAGCCATATGCCACTTATCAGCTGCCTTCAGTCAGACATCATTGAGGCAGAAGAACAGCTGGAGTCTGTTCCCAGTGTGCGCATGCGCAGAGTTGCCAGGCAAAGGGAACAGCTAAAGAACAGGGGTCAACTTGGGAGTAAGGCCACAGGTGGACGATGAATTCCCAGGCGAAATAAAACAGGAGCAAAAAGGGAGTGGATTTGCAGGCAACCATTAGTTCGGTTAATTGGTTGGTGACTCTCCGAGACTCCTTACCAAGTTCTGCAGATATCGGCCTGGCAGCTCTCCAAGCCAGATAAGGTCTGTGACTGTAAATCCTCCCTCGAAAGACTTTATTGGATATGAATGAGCAGAATTCACAGTCAATTAATCAAAGGGTTTTTTATCGGGACAAGGAGTTTGCTCCATGCTCTTAGGAAGCTTCAGTCAGAACATCTAGTTTAACAGAACACCTCTCACTCACTCAGTCACTCACTCACCCACCCATCCGCCCATCCATCCATCCATCCATCCATCCATCCATCCAATTTATAAAAAGAAGAGAATACCTGAATAGCCGAATGGTGTGGGAGGGCTCTTTCAATGTGATCGTTGCCTTCGGCTTTCAGTTGAATGTGATACAGGCAGGATGGCTTTTCAGGTATAAAATTAAGAAAAACAACACAAGATTAACAATCCCAAGGTCAACCATTGTCATTATGACCTACGCAACGGCTTTCGCCCCAGCCGTGACTTAACTGAATCACAACTTGTTAAAGAAGACGTTAAGCAGCTGGATTCACCTGATGCTAATCCACAAATCCGCATTTTCTAATTAAAAGAAGGGGGTTCGTCCAGCATATTATGGCTTAGTACGATGAGTAAATTCAGGGCTTTGGAGTTACAACCACCCCCTTAAAAACTGCCAGTGGCTTAACTCAAACCCAAGAGGAGCTTGCACCAATTCTGCTGTTTTTAAGAGACTCACCAGCAGACCCCGTAGCCGGAATCTCCCCTCTTCATCTGTGATGGTGTCTTCTCCGTAGAGGGCACACTCCCCCTGTCCTACCGCTTCCACTGCAACCCCTTGCTCAGGTTCCCCGTTCAGAGAAGAAACGGTGCCGTAGCAGCTGGAGAAGAGGAGGAAGGTGTTGTGACCGAGGCTTCCCAAGAACATGAAGCAAACTCCTTGTCCCAACAAAAAAACCCTTTATTAATTGATTGTGAATTCTGCTCATTCACATCCTGCAAAGTCTTTCAAGGGAGGATTTACAGTCACAGACCTTCTCTGGCTTGGAGAGCTGCCAGGCCGATATCTGCAAAACTTGGCAAGGAGTCTCGGAGAGTCACCAACCAATTAAGCGAACTAATGGCCTCCTGCAAACTCCACTCCCCTTTCGCTCCTCTTTTATTTCCTCTGGGAATTCATTGTCCACCTGTAGCCTCACTCCCAAGTCAACCCGTTCTTTAGCTGTTCCCTCGTCTGGCAACTCTGCGCATGCGCGCACTGGGAACAGGCTCCAGCTGTTTGTCTGCCTCACTGATGTCTGCCTCTGAAGGCAGCTGATAACTGGCATAGGGCTCTTGCCCCCTCCAACACAGAGTCCTTGTCAGAGCCTTCCCCAGATTCCAGGACTGGCCTATCTTCCTCCCCAACCTCCTCACTGTCCAAATCTGCTGCCAGCTCTGCTTACAACAGAAGGTAAGGCTCAAGTAACACCCTTTAATTAAAATGTGATGCAGCGGTTAAGGTGCTGGCCTAGAAACCTGGAGATGGTGAGTTCTAGTTCAGCCTTAGGCTTGAAAAAAAACAGCCGGGTGACTTTGGGCCAATCACCAGGACATGGTGAGTTCTAATCCCACCTTATACATGAAAACCAGCTGACTCAGGGCCAATCACCAGGAGACAGTGAGTTCTAGGTCCGCCTTTGGCATGAAAACCTGGCCACTATGAGCCAATCACCGGAAGATGATGAGTTCTAGTCCCACCTTAGGCATAAAAACCAGGTGACTGGGAGCCAATCACAGGTAAAGTTCTATTCCCACCTTAAACACAAAGCCAGCTGGGTGACAGTTCAGAATGTACATACAGGCGGATCTCAGCTCCTTCGCCTTCTCTTTCAATGCCATCCTCTCAGCAGTCTTGGGCCTCTCATCTCTACCATCCTCCTAGCCCTTAAAAGAGGACTTGTTCGCATTCTCTACATTCCTGCTCTCCGGTTCAGCTAATTCCACCAAATTCAGCCCCAATTTCCCATCCCTGAGCCCTGAACTAGCAAAAGTTCCCATTCACTGACCTGTAAGCCGTACGGTAACCAACAATGGCGATTTTAAGATTCTGTCCCTCCTGAACTTCGATCATCTGAGATGAGGGTTCGAAGCGAAACTCTTTCATCATTGGTTTGAAGTAGTACTGACCAGGACTCTGCCAAAGGAGAACCATTTGTTGACTATTATCCCCCCCCCCAAAAAAAAAAACCTATTTACACACCCGGGAGCCAAAAAAGGAGGAGGGGGCTACAATTCAATGAAAATTTTGATTCCAATTGTAGTTGTTAAGTCAAGGAGTCCCTTTGTTGAAATGACTGTCCTTAACACCAATAAGATCTAGAAGCTTACAGCGGACTACAGAAGGAATAGCTCCTTGCTTATCAATGGAGACCGAGTGGAGCAAGTTTCCAGTTTTAAGTTTCTGGGTGTTAGCATAAAAGAGGGCATGACATAGGGGGCTCACATTGCAGCACTGGTCAAAAGGGCCCAACAGAGATTATACTATCTGAGACTTCTCAAGAAACAACTGAAGGAAAAACTGCTGGTGACCTCCTATTGCTGCACGGTAGAGAGTATTTTAACTTACTGCACCTGTGTCTGGTTTGCCAATTGCACAGTGGCAGATAGGATAGCTGCTCCAGAGGGTTAAGGATAAGGTTAAGGTGCCAAGAGAATCATGGCTTGCCCTCTCCCCTCTTTGGAAAAGCTTTACAGCTCCCTCTGCCTTAAGAAAGTTCAAAAGATTCTTAAAAATCCATCTCATCCTGGGCACCCCCCTTTTTTTTAAACTATTACCACCTGGCAGACGGTACAGGATAATAAAAACAAGGATAAATAGGCTGAAAAACAGCTACTATTCTAGTCAGTTTGGGGGGGGGGGAATGCTTAGATATCTTATTAATTGAATTTGTTTCAAAATATGTCATAAAGGCGTAATATTATTGGAGGTTTATCGAAACTGCGAATGAATGCCAGTAGGTGGTTGTGTCTTTAAATACAAATGATTTCAGATGAAAAGCACGTTTAAATAATTGTACTTAAATGAGAATTGTGGCACATTGATAGTAAAATATATAAAGACTTTTGATTTAAAATGTACAATTCAATATGAATGATTGTGGAAGAAACGCACGAAATGTATTTTTAACCAATCGACACGCTTTCTACAAGATGTAATGAAGGATGATTCTATTTTTTTGTGTTTTTTGTTTAATTAAAACAATAAAAAACTTTTCAAAAAAACAGCTACTATTCTGTTCTAGCAGTAACTATATCGAATTCTACCGTACAGCGCAATATTAATGCAATATCGGGTTTTCAATTTCAATTATATAGAATGTAAAGAATGTATGTTTCTGTTTTTATTTTTATAAATGCACACTGAAGACATCATTTAATTTCATTGTACCATGTGCAATGACAATAAAGTAAACTAACTAACTAACTAACTAACTAACTAACTAACTAACTAACTAACTGAGTGAAAACAGAAGGAAACAATTCCTGCCCCGCTCTGCAAAGACGGGCTTATGGCAGATGGTACAGGAGAATGAAAAGGACAAATATGATGAAAAACAGCTTCTATCCCCCTTCTACCAGTAACTTATATTGAATTTTCCTGCATAGTGCAATATTAATGCCCTATCAGGGGTTTTCAATTCCATTGTACAGAATGCAAAGGTGTGTTTGTGTTTTATTTTTATAGTTATAATGTACCCTGAAGATGTCATTTAATTTCGTCGTACGAGGTGCAATGACAGTAAAGTAAGCTAAACTTATTTAAACTAAACTAAACTCTATTCCAGTCAACCTCAAGTTGGGCCCATTCAAATTGGATCATAGCTCTCACCATCTCCTATCCCAAAAATCTAACTGGCTGGAGGTGGTGACCGCTGCGGGGCAACCTTTCGGAATGAGAAGCAAGTGGGTGGATTTTTTCCCTCCCTTTGGTCGAAACTGTAAATATAAAAGCCGTTACCAAGTTGGGGAACGTCAGCATGCCGTTGTCCTGAGTCAGGAGGTTGGAGCGAAAGGTACCGCCACTGAGCGAAAGGAGAACTCCTGCAAGGGGATGGCCATCTTCAGATTTAATCTGTCCAAACGAAAGATGTAAGCAACGTGCTATCAAAGCTGGTTCAGCACAGCCTCAGTGGTCCAGATTAAAGGATTGATCTGACTTTTTTTGAAGGAAGAGGGAAGAACATCGGTGACTTCATGTCTCTTGAAGCTGAACAAGGGTTCACCCAACAGATTTCCTTCTACTCTGTAGTATGGTGGTCTCTTATTTGAAGGTCTTCAAATAGGACCTAACTTCTCAATTTCTGGCAAGGAAAAGCCAAGGAAGACATGTCTAGGGAGATTTGCTGCTTGTATCCTTACGATTTATATTGACATTGTTTCCTAATTGCTTATTTGTACCCTCTGACTATCATTAAGTCTTGTACCTTAGGATTCGTGACGAATGTATCTTGTCTTTTTATGTACCCTGAGAGCATCTGCACCAAAGACAAATTCCTTGTATGTCCAATCCCACTTGGCCAATAAAGAATTCTATTCTATTCTATTCTGAATTTTTATTCTATTCCATTCCATATTTTCTATTCTATTCTATTCTTAATTTCCATTCTATTCTTAATTTATATTTCTATTCTACACTCCATTATTCTATTCTGAATTTCCATTCTATTCTTAATTTCTATTTCTATTCTATTCTTCATTCCATTATTCTATTCTATTCTTAATTTCCATTCTATTCTTAATTTCTATTTTTATTCTATTCTTCATTCCATTATTCTATTCTATTCTTAATTTCTATTTTTATTCTATTCTTCATTCCATTATTCTATTCTATTCTTAATTTCCATTTTATTCTTAATTTCTATTTCTATTCTATTCTATTCTTCACTCCATTATTCTCCATTATTCTATTCTATTCTGTTATTCTATTCTTTATTCTATTCTAAATTCTATTCTATTCTATATTCTGTTCTGTTATTCTATTCTATTCTTTATTCTATTCTAAATTCTATTCTATTCTAT